TCATTTTGATGGGTCAAAGAAAATTAACGTCTCACGTTACATTTAATCATTCAATGCACGATATTGCTCAGTCCAGAAAAATGAAAGAATCCGTTTAATTTATGAATAATATCAACAGATATAGTTCATAACAGCTCCAACCCGTAGTGGAGGTGGGTAAACCCCTTTGATTTTGTCCCATGGGGCATTGTTGTTGATGTGGGGGGGTGTTTATTCAGGATTCAGGTGTTTATCAGATACACACTCAATTGGGTTGTGGTGGCCATCAAATATATGTAGAGGAATTTTTGATTGGATATCTATATAATTTATTAGTTATGAGTTAAGCCCATAAGATATGCATTTATTATGCAAATAACCTCGTTATGTGGGCACCACCTCTTTAAGAGGAAAATCAGTCTCTAACCCTCAAATTAACTAAACTGAAACGTGAATTCTTTCCCGTGTTTAAAGGGGCGTTAAATCAGTTAATACACACAGATATGTCAAAATATTCACAAATTTAGTTGATTTTTATGTATTTTATTACAAAAACAATAATCTGATGTATATATCTGATGAAGATTATTCATAAAAATTAATACACAAATTAATAACAAAATTACCTTGTGACAAAGGTTATTTGATTATTAAATTCAGTGTAACTTTTTATAAAAGGCAGAATCTTGGACTGGTTTGTTGGGGTGTAGTTAAAATTTTGTCTAAATTAACTGTGGTGTATCTAAATTAATATTATTGTGAATGTATGATCACCAAAAAGGCATTAAGGTCTCTTGTCCTACCGAATGAGTCGTCAGAATGTCCACAACTGCTTATGAGGGATGCCAGCTGTACCTGAGATGCTATGGGTGACTTAAAAGGAGGATTTATCCTCAAAGGTCACCGGTCATCCGTTGGAGGGACCAAGGTCAGATCACTGGCTCTTTGAAGTCAGCTGGGATTTACCAATCTGTGGCGTGATGTTCTGGTTCAGGTCTCAGTTTAATGCCAGGTTCTGCTGGTTGTTGTCTTCCTTCCAACGTCTCACTAGGAGGAATATTCTTCTCTGAAGTTTTGCTCGAAGTTCGTTGTAAAAAGAGCGGTGAAGTGTAATGAAGAAGTGGTATAGAAGATGAAGAAGTGAAGTGTCTGTCTATGTGTTACAGATTCACTTAGGACCTCCCCCCCAGAAGTGGGATTGTTCATCATTCTTGTGTTATGTTTTTAAAGAATATCACAGTCCATTTCGTCTATCTGCCTTTAAAAAGTCACACTTCTTTTAAAAGGAGAAAAATAAACATGATTATCTTAAAGAGAGGTTACTTTAAACAGACATTTTCTATAACAAACATTCAGTTCTGAAGCTATGGAAATAACATGCAGTGTTCATCAAAAAAGGTGTCGCTGTTCATCTCCTGAAAGAGAACGTCATTTTTAAAACAAAGAATTATTTTAAAACTGTTATCTCCATGGGAAAATCCTGGGAATAAAACTCCT